CACTGTTGGGGGCCTGGATCAGCTGATGGCTCCCAGCCATGGAGGCATATGGTGCTGCTCTACCGCTGCTCCCAGCTGGGGGGGGTGTCTAATGCACCCCTGAGGGTGCATTAGCAGCAGCTAATCATGCTCCTAGCCTTGGAGGCACATCAGAGTCCTTGACATCGATGGTCCTCCAAGGCTGGGAGCTGATATGCACTGTCAGCCTCCAGAGCATGTGAGAGTCAAGGGGTACCATGTACTCTGAAGGCTGGGAGCCCCAAGCCTGGGCACATATTCAGTGAATGGTATGATAGGAACCAACCACAGAAGTTATTAGCCATTTTTTTGTGTAATAACTTGGTGGCTTATTCCTTGTTTTATCATGCCATTAACTGCATTAACCTGTGGCCAGGTAACATGTGCCTGAAACACAGATTAGAAAAGAAGTGCTGCATGATTCATTTCAAATTGAGTTTTAAGTCTAGGAATGCCATAGAACTGAATCTTAACATTCCCAGCCTACAAAAGGTTGCGAATAGTTATTTTAGTAACTAACTCCTAAAAAAACCCCACATTTAAAAATCAGCTGAGCATATGAGCAGTTTTTGAGGGAGTCTGAACTTCTGCAATAAAATTAGTATTTCTACCTGGAGAGACAGGCCTTATCGACAGCATGATAAAGACTTTCATCTGGATACTGAGATAGCCGTCGACAAATTCGTAATAACTGTCGTGTGGATAAAGATGATGCCAGTGACTGTGCCTATCAGAAATAAAAGGTAATTTTAATTCCAAGTCCTCTTTCGTTTAAACTGGAACACACAAGAAAGAATAATTTACTCCGTAAGCAATCATTTCAACGTTTTGTTCTTAAACAGGTGTTTTCATCTTCATTTCTCAGTTTCTGCCTCTTAATTCTTTAGGGGTCATAATTTAGTATTTTTGACAGAAATGCATTACCATGGAAATCATGATGTCACCAGAATATCAGCTTTCTCATTATAGTAGAAGAAAAAGGGTGCCAGAGAAGTTATAGGTAGGGACAAGTGTAATTCAGGCTGCGGCAGAGGGAAAAGTTGGCTCCCTGCAGGATCGCTGGAGATCATTTCAGGTGTTTTTTAGGGCCGGCTCTTGCAAGCCTCTGATTGGCTGAGGGAGCCCGTCATGGGGCTGACCTCCATTGAACAGCAGCATACAGGCTGTTCTTCAGCTGTTTTAAAAAAGTCAAGCTCACCACTTAGAATTCTAAGTGAAATCATAATAAATAAACTTAATCAAACAACAACTTTTAACGAGTGCTAACTTTTACGGTTTCCTCCCACCTGGCACTGGTCTCCTGAGCCCCCCTCTGCCCTGCTGTGCAGAGAAGGGGAGGGGGAAATTCTCCTCCACTCCTGTGCAGCGGCAAAGCAAAGCAGGACTCAGGAGAGCTGTGCAGAGTGGCGGGGGAAGCCCCTGCAGCAGAAGCGCCCCATGCCCAGCTGTGAGGCCAGGCACCCAGCATGTCTATGCCTGCAGCCCCTAGGACAGGGGATACTTACCTGCTCTGCTCTGGGCAGGGCTTTTAAACTCCCTGCCAAAGTGGGGAATTGAACAACCTGATTGGCTGAGTCCTGGGAGGGGCTCAGCCTGTACTAGGCTGCCCCTGGAAACATGTGGGGCTTTCGCAGTGTTTCCAGGGCTCTGCTACCTTTCTTCTCTGCACTTCAGATAAGGTTTTTCGTTTAGTTTTTTACTTTATTCCCTGCCTTCCGTGTCCTATGGTTTCAGGCCATTTCCAGCCAAACTGTAGTTTTCTGGGGCTTCAGGGGAAAACGCTAAATTTTGGGCTTTGCCCTGAAATATACTGAAGCCCAAATAATAGCAGTCCCTAGGTATAAGTTCAGAAATTCCTTTGAAAATTTAATTTGGGTCAACAGAAATTCTTTCTTTATATAATCTCAAGCACATACAATCTCAAATGGAAAAAATGAAAATATCCTCCTAGTAAACTTAAAATATTCTCCGAGTAAAATGTAAATCAAAACCAATCTTTTTCTGTGAAATCTTTCAACTTTGAAAATGAGGCACTTACTGTTCAAAAACATATTATTAAAAATTTTCCAATCAGTACTATTACATTGCATAAAGGCTACTTTCTAACATATGAAAGATCCAGGTTAATATTTTGAAAAAAGCTTAAGTAACTGCACTTTATATTCCATTTTCTAAAAAAAAAAACTTAAAAAATTAGAAACTTTAAAAGATTTAGGTTCCTGGGTTACTCTACAATTTTCTGACGACAGACATTTTCAAATGAAATGTAGGCTTTCTGGATCAAACAACTGTTTGGTAGGGCTGCGCAAAATTTCACCGCCAGTTTTGTTTCGATGTTACTTCAACTTGTTTTGAGGCTGAAACAGCAAAATCGAAACGGAAGAGAGATGGTTGACAGCCTCGAAACAAAATAAGGCAGGTTGAAATGTTTCACTGCTTTGATGCTGTTTCGACGTTTTGCCCATAGGCTATGATGCAGAAGGTTGAAACAGCAAAACCATTGCAAAAAAGTGATTCTCCTGCTCTATTCGGCTCTACTTGGCATTGGTGAAACCGCAGCTGGAGTACTGTGTTCAGTTCTGAGCTCCACGCTTTAACAAGGATGTGGTAAAGCTTGAGAGAGTCCAGAGAAGGGCTACCCATATGATCATAGACTTGCACAGCAAGCCATATGAGAAGAGGCCAAGGGACCTGGGTCTCTTCAGCTTGAAAAAGAGAAGGCTGAGAGGGGACTTGGTAGCAGCTTACAGCTACATCAGAAACGTACATCTAGGGCTCAGTAAACTGTTCACCAGGGCACCTTTGGGGAAAACTAGGAGTAATGGTCACAAACTCCTGGAAGATCGTTTCAGGCTCATTTCAAGCTCAACATTAGGAAAAACTACTTCACAACCAGGGTGTCCAGACTGTGGAATAAGCTCCCTCCTGAGGTGGTGTGATCAACTACCCTGGAAATCTTCAAGAGGAGACTGGACAGTCACCTTGCTAGGGTCACCTGACCCCCAGTTATATTTCCTGCTTGGTGCAGGGGGCTGGTTTTGCTGGAGACACACTGATTGATGCATGCCAGAGTATTGTTAGCCCTGCTGGCTACAGCATCGCCCTGCTAGCTCATGTTCATACTGTGGTCAATTATTACCCCCAGGTCTGTGGTGGCAGGTGATGGGGGATCTTCAGTCCTACTGCCTGATGAGAGGCAGCAGTTGCACAAGCAACCACGTCCCAAGGTTT